TTCAAAGCTTGATTAATTTACCACACAAAAAACACGCCGGTCAAAATTCATACCTCAGTTTTAATCGGCACTATTTTCTATCCATTTCTATCAATCCGCGCTGCTGTCAACAGTGCGCACGTTCCAATCAGCTGTTCCATAGTGTTTCACAATCGATTGACAACGACGTAAAAAGTATTAAATTAACAATGGTGCGCACTTGTAAATTCCCAGGCTGTGACCACAAGGATGTGCCGGGATCAAAGTTCAGATTCCATCGTTTTCCTGTTTCGAATATAACTATGAGACAGCTTTGGCTGGTTGCCATCGGCTACTCTGCGGGAGCTAAAATATCCAGAATAAAGGATTTTCGTGTGTGTAGTGCTCACTTCAGCGAAGACGATTACATCCCCAACCAAGGAGGAAAAGGAAAATTAAATAGTTTTGCTGTACCAGTACCACGGGTAAGCTCTATTTACTAACTTTATGATCCCATGTCTAAACTGTACGGTGAACAAGCTGATGTTTAGACTCCATTATAAAACACGTGAAAAGATGTCTATTATAAAAACAGCTATAGGGATATTGGTACAATTTGCTGAGAAAACTATTTGATTGAACACACACACAATTGAGGTTTTGTGTTGCAATCAATAACATTGTCGTTAAAATCTAAAATTACTTTTATCATCTGATCCGTCTGACATTGTGCTAAAATTGGTTTCATCATCAGAAGTTTCGCAGTCAGACATGTTGTCAGCGAGTCGCGCTATCAACAGCTGATTGGAACGTGCGCACTGTTGACAGCAGCGCGGATTGATAGAAATGGATAGAAAATAGTGCCGATTAAAACTGAGGTATGAATTTTGACCGGCATGTTTTTTGTGTGGTAAATAATCAAGCTTTGAAACGCAAATCATTTTTTCACGTAAAAAACGCACAGTTTTGTGACCCCGGAAAATAACCGGGAGTACTTTATTGAAAAACTTCCAGCGGCCAGAACTCTGACCAGGGAGGTGACAACAGAGTGGGTCAGTGTGTATGCACTATAGTGCTGGTAATGATTGCATACAACTTCATGTCTTAAATGGGCGAACTAACCCTTTAAGTGCTTTGTAAGTTAAAAGTAAAAATTTAACTGGGAGCCAATGCAACTTCCGTAAAACAGGAGAAATGTGTTGTGAAATGGAAGTTTTGGTAATGACTCGAGCTGCAGCATTTTGTACTAACTGTAATTTATGATAAGATTTGGAAGGGTGCATAAAACAAAGCATTACAATAGTCGATTCTTGATGTTACAAGTGTGGCAGTACTCTTCAGTGAAAGGACAGGACGCAGACGATTTATATTGCGAATATGGAAGAATGCAGAACGGGTAACACTATTTATGTGAGATTCAAAAGACAGAGTTGTGTCAAGAATGACACCCAAACTTTTAACCTGATTCGACAGAGGAACAGAACACTTATCTATTACCATAGAAGAAATATTCGACTTACTTATTGTATTTTTTGAACCAACAAGAAGAGTTTCTGTTTTACTGCTGTTCAATTTTAGAAAATTACTTGAAAACCATTTTTTTTTATTCACTTAAGCACTCAACAAGAGCAGAGGGGGGAAACTTTGAAGAAGGTTTAGAAGACAGGTAAAGTTGGGTGTCGTCGGCATAACAATGAAAATGAATATCATATTTCCTAAAAATGCTGTCACACGTCGATTAACCGGTGGGAAAATAGCCTCACCGTCACATCCCTAATCAGCAGTTGAGGTTATTTTCATGGGAAGAGCTGTGCTGTACATTTTTTACCAGTTACATAGGAGTTGTATAAATTAGGGCTGGGCAAGTTAACGCGTTATTATTGCGTTAACGCATTTATTAATTAATGCCGACAATTTTTTTATCGCACGTTAACGCAGTTTTTTTTATTTTGAAAGTCCGTTGCACACTGGCTCTGAATAGGACATAGGCCTACAGTCAAACCATGGATCACAGGAGGTGTGCGATGTTGGTCAGCCAGCAAATAACCCACACAAACAAGCAGTGGAGGGGCTTTAGCAGGTTCTCTCAGGTGAACAGAAAGGGAGACAGCGCTCCGCGAGTGAATGACAGGCGCTCTATGGATAGTAACCATGGCAATGGCTTCTGTGCGCTACGCAGCTATAGGGCCCTATCTTGCACTCGGCGCAAATGACTTTGTACACTGACGCATGTATCATTCCTATTTTGCACCCGCGCAAAGCGGACTTTTCCCCTTCACAGACACACGTCGGTTAACTAAGAAATACACTTGCGCTCCCCGGGGCGGTTCAGCGCAAAGTGGAGGCGTGTTCCGGCGCAAACTTTCCCTCATGCTATTTTGCTGTTCTATAAAACAATTGCGCCACTGACCAGAAAAAAACTAGTCTAAAGTCAGTAGCGCGTTGCGTGTTGTTCTTTATGCTATTTTAAGGGCGCATGCTTGGCCATAATCAATGTAGCGTGTGCACAACGCGCATACACTTTGATTCTCTCATCTAAGCAGGAGTTTTCATTTTTGCAAATCATACATTATTACGATAGATAGATAGATAGATAGATAGATAGATAGATAGATAGATAGACAATTTATTATAAAAGCATAGGCCTACATGTAGCTTACACATTTACCCAAATTATACGCCTGTTTAACAGAAGTTAATTTGGGTGGGTTTCTCCATCCCCAATGTCACTTCTCTGTGTTTTACGGCCCTGACGAGAACGTTGCTCTCCTCGGCTGTGAACCGCTCCTGGCGCGCGCCTGGCAAATCCGCCGTTATAATAGGAATCCGCTTTAGAACAAGCGCGCCTGCTCTTAAAGGGAATGTGAGATGAGGCTCTGATTGGTTTATTTCACGTTACGCCCAAACCACACCAATGAATAATGAAGCTACTTCAGACCAACCCTTTTTTAGATTTGCGCCTGGCGCAAGAGGCATTTATCCCGCCGGGAAAATAGCAACAGCGCCGGGATCCGCCCACAAAGTTACTTGCGCTTTGCGCTTTGACACTTGCGTTTCAGATCGTTAAAATAGGGCCCGTAGTCTTTTTAACTTAAATTAAAATTATACATAACTTTACCTTATGTGCCTGCGTGTAGTTTAGCGGGGATGCTCTGCAATGTGAATTCCCTTCTGTTGATGTCCTGATAACTATTTAAATATTGGAAACTCACAAACAGCGAGCCGAGGATCAGTCTCTCTTCCAATGATTTGTACTGCGCGTCGTGTACAAAAAGTTATAGACAATCAAAGTCCTTTTAGACAATTCAACTTCGGCAAGGGGCGGGCGCGGGCGCGTGCGTGAGGCGAGCATGACCGCAACAGTTTCACAGAACCCACCCGCTTGTCGCTGCACCTTGTGCTCGACCAATTCACCTCACTCTAAAAGGCTGATTTATACTTCTGTGTCGGACTTACGCTATACACTACGCGTTGGTTGGTTTTACTTCTGCGTCGTTGTCCGCGTTGACGCGCAATTACACATGCAGAGGGAGCATGTGAAACCCGTGGAGCGGTTCTAGCAATCACAGCGCTTGCGGTCCGCGTAGAATTGACGCGTTGTTACATTTTGGGAGAGGTGCAAGTCAGGGTACGACGTAAGTTCGACGCAGAAGTATAAATTGGCCTTTACCTCTGTTTAATGCAATCTTAGTGTACGTGGGAAACCATGGCATGACCAAACCTAAGCTACTATCAGAGAAGTAACGTTGGTCGACTTGTATCTCATGACCTCTGACTACATAGACTGTTTCTGCTGCTAAAAGACACCTGTTGATACCTGTTAAGGAAAAAAACAAGAAAACTGGACTCGTTTTAACAAGCTAGATAAAAGGTAATGGTCCTGGCAGGGGCAAATAGCTTTGTTTTAATATTTGATTTGATTGAGTTGTTTAAGTTGAGATTTACAATAAATATTTTATTGCTGTGTAAAGGGAATACTGCTGGTATAAAGCACCTTATTTGTTTAAAGTTTTTGCAAACCACATGTTATTACACTTTTGTGTATATAGCAGTACATTTAAATCAAAAGTGAGTAATACACTACTTTAGAATTCATTATTAAAGGAGAACTCCGGCGCAAAATGAACCTTTGGTCTAATTACACATTGTTACCTAGTCAACCGTTATCTGAGATTTGTTTTCATGATTATCGAATGTAAATAGTTTTATCTCTAAAAACATTTTAGCCTATAAAGCTAGTATAACGCTAGTATATTGGGCATAGAGTAATGACAAATAAAAATCGCTTGTTAATACCACTAACAAGGCTGAAAATAGACCCACACTAACACGGAAGCATAATGAGGGTCCCTACCTTCAAACCGAAGCATTGAGAACTTTGTAAGTGTACAGATAGTTTAATAAGAAGATATTTTAAACATACAGTCAACTTCGCGTATACAGGCAGAAGCCATTTTTGAAATACAGCCTTTACCAGTCGATCTACGAACGCCGATCCAAGCCTGCTGTTCGCGCTCACCTTATCACAACTTATAGCTCGTTCACATTCTCACCAGCGCACTTGGATCGGCGTTCGTAGATCGACTGGTAAAGGCTGTATTTCAAAGATGGCTTCTGCCTGTATACACGAAGTTGACTGTATGTTTAAAATATCTTCTTATTAAACTGTCTGGACACTGACAAAGTTCTCAATGCTTCGGTTTGAAGGTAGGGACCCTCATTATGCTACCGTGTTAGTGTGGGTCTATTTTCAGCCTTGTTAGTGGTATTAACAAGCGATTTTTATTTGTAAAGCATGTAAAGCAATTGGGTCTCTTCAGAAGACTTGGATTAAACCACTTCAATTGGATTAGTTTTATGATCTCTTTATAAACGTTTTGAAGCATCTTTTGGATGAGTTTTGGGTGAGTTTTGGGTGAATAGACTTTCAATGGAGGGTCAGGAATTTCTCAGGTTTGTGTTTCGAAGATGATTGAAAGTTGTATGGGGGTGAACTACCCCTTTAATGCTATTCAAAAAAATAAACATGAAGAACAACTTACTTCCATTGTTTCCTACGACAAAGTTGACGTTTGGACCAAACGGAAAGGGACCAAGGAACGAATGACACATGAAGTTCTTTAGAGAGATACTCTCTATGATGCCCACCTCACCTGTGACCTGAAAACATACATATGCAGATGTGTAAGCAAAGTCTATACACAATTTGCATACTTATGATAAGAGTACAGCCCCTAGCACACATTCTCTAATTAGGACAATAAAGTACAAGTAGGGTATTTTACAGGACAAAGGAACATCAGTTAATACACTTGTTGTATGCTGCTAATGTCTTACACTCTGTGATGAATTTGTGCCATCTCCTGAACTGAAGTTGCCCGTTTCCTCGTCCTCCTCCTCGGGTTGAGAAAACCGGCTTCTCTTGTCAGGCGTGCGCCTTGAATTACTGCTCTTCCTCTTCGACATGCTCTCCCTCTACACACATCAAGTATTTACAGTATCATTCACACTAAACACACAGTCATATACTCCCAATATCATGCATCAGAGTTTTGTGTGAATAGACTTTCAGTAGCTTTGTTTCCATCTAAAGTTTCAAATTTAACTTGTGTGCAAAAATAGGAATATCCCATAAAACATTTGCGAAAAATTTGTTTCCATCCCACGTGTTCAAGAGAACAATATCGCCACTTCCTGGGAATTTGGGGCAAAACATCTGTAATAAAAATGGTTGTTTTGGCATAAACTCTGGCTGTTTTGCCTCCATCATAAATGACTTGCGTCTCAGAGCACGAAGACGAAATGCAATAAACGCTGTCATGTTATCTTGCGTTCGGATGCTGGTGTTTGGGAACGCAATCATGTGAGAAACTTCTGGAAGGTCATTATACCAAATCATTCTGATGACTTTGGCTCATGCATTTCAGAAAGATCAAACCAACATTTAAGATGCTGTGCAATGAAACGGATCTGCTGGTTAGTCCAGTTATCCAATCACATCCTCTGTTGAGGCAAAGTCATTTTTTGAGGCAAATTTTTACACATCAATAGATTTATTTAGGGGCGTGCGATATAACAATTTTTGAGTGTAAATTATTAAAATGTATAAATATTGGGAACTATATTCTCAGAAGGCGAAGCACTGCTACTTGGGCGGAGTGATTACTGCAGCACCTGAGACGCACCGTGATGAGGAGCAGAGAGTTCGTTCAGAGTTGGAGTAATAAGAGTCAGCAATTACTAGATAGTAAAAGCATAGTTTACAATCATGGGTGTTCGCTGTATTGTAAAGAGCTGCGACAATAAACAGTGGAGACCAGGTAATACCATGATGATGAACGAAAGTCTTACGGGGTTGGAACAACATGAGGGTGAGTAATTACTGACAGAATGATCATTTTTGGTTTAACTAACAGTTTAAGTGAAGTTAGTGAACGTAAACAGTTGGGAGAAAACCAGATGCGTGTCTGTATATTGGATGAGGTTTTTGAAGTGACAGCAGCCTAATTAAGCTGCTTCCGCTTGTTATTAATGTAAATCAATCAATAAAAAACAAAGAGAAAATCGCCTACTGCTCGCCACTAAATAACTTAAGACTCAGAACATTAAACCCATGTGACTAATCGGCTGTTTCCGCTGACTAATCTTTTCCGTGTTTTATTTACTGTTAGTTACTAGGTTACCAATACCACCGTCATCCGCTCGAATAACTTGATGGGAAATGCACCTAATTCGCATTTGGGGTTTTTTGCGAACTTTGAAAAGATTCGCTTCACGTTTGAAGCGAATATGTAGTGTTATTATTATTAATTTTTTTTCGATTTCTTACTTGAATACTACTGTAAAATACACCTACTGTGAAAAATAAATAAAACATTTGTTTATTCAATTTCAAGTCACTCTTTTTTATATTTGTTACCTTGTAAGACTACATTTTTAAAATAATACTAGTTTAGCTGTACAGCTCAGTCAATTGCAAAATAATATAGTAAATAAAAATATATTTTTTTATAAAAACATGAATCGTGATTTTCCTTAAAGAAATCATGATATTTTATATATATATATATATATATATAATACATCAACTTATGTATTATCATTAACAATTATCATAGTTTATGTGCATGTCTATTGAGGCAAAGTCGAGGGGGGTTTTTTGGTTTGGATTTATTCCGTAAATGTGTTTCCATCGTAGATACTGCGCATGTCTTATCAGATAAAAAAATGTATCTGCCTCAGATAAGCACATAAGTTTTATAGGCAGATTTTCAGACTTCGCATCTTGACGTTTCCATCCAGCATTTTATTATACAATATCCCAAAATTCACATAAAAACAGGTGGATGGAAACATGGCTAATGGAGGGACAGAAATCTCTCAGATTTCATTAAAAAGATCTTCACTTGGGTTTCAAAGATGAACAAAAGCCTTATGGGTTTGGAACAGCATGAGGTTAAATAAACTGATGATAATTTTAATGTTTGGGTGAACTAGCCTATCCTTTTAAGAATATTTGACCAACAGGCAAGTCAGAACATGTAGGATGGATATAATTTGTACAAGTTCTGATTACAACATGGAAAATGTACAGGTAAAATAGTGTATGTGTACTGTAGTGCAGTTTAATGAGGTTTAATAGTTATTGCATTATACAGTAGGGCGACAAATAAGGAAAGCTGAAAATGCATAACATGGACTGTGGCATGTTTTGGTATTGATCTAGCTTTGATTGGAAATTTAGCTGGTTTTGGGCCAGTTTTGATTTGTCATTGAGCGGTTCTAGCCATACAGTGACCTTGCACACCGATTAATCACGATCACAGGAACCAAGACAGTAAAACCACTAAAGGAAATGTGACATAACTGATGGCATCACTGTGTGCACCACAGAAAACCATTCTCCTCTTTCGTACGTCGTGCCATGTGTAAAAAAAAGAAGAAGGAGGTTGAATCACGAATGATCAGATAAAAGAGTAACACACTCCCACACATATAATACATGTAAGTTAAGTTATTATACTAACAGACATTCAACTCACAACGAAAAGTAACGTAATGTCAAATTAAATCAAATCATGAAAACGAAACTTGTGACATTGTTAGAGTCAAGTTCGGAAACTTTAATACATCAAACTACTTACTATGTGAGACTGGCATTTACATCGTTGCTTACGTTTTTATAAATAACTAACAGTTATTTCACGTTGAAATTCGCTCTCTGCTAAAATGTTAGCGGACGCGCGAAAGACCTTAAAAGTTGAAACCATTCCTCAAAACCACCACAGACATGACAACAGGGTAAGAAGGAGCTATATGTGTGTGTTTTAAGATATTTATTTTAAATATATGTTAGTAAATATGTCAAGTGTGTGAAACAGACGAAACATACCAGTAAACCCTCCTGCTCCTCCGCGCGCGCTTTGAAGCCTGCGTCAGAGTGAGCGATGGCGTCAGACCGCTTCCGGCTTGTGCCCACCAATCAGATAACAGCCAAGCGATTGGTGGAGGACCATATATATACAACTTTAAAAAATATATATATATATTTTTTATGTTATCTGTATAAATGATGTTCAAATGCCCATTCTAAAATCATTTTAAGAGCGATTCTTATAATTACCCAACAGAGAGCTCACATTTTTATTTTATTTTAATGTTTTTATTGCATTTAGCAATCGTGTGCTGTCTATTCATAAAGTTTGTTTGCACTGGAACTGGATCTGACTTATAGCAACCTTTTTATCAAACATTAAAAATACTTTAAAGACAGCTTCTTTAAAACGAGTATTATTAGCGACTTGGCGAGCATTATTATCATTTGATGATTAAATAACACAACAAATAAAACACTGAGCATGCAAGATGTGTGGAAAGTCAGATTACTCCATGAGTCGAAAACAAATAATATTATATTATATTATATTATAATTAAACTGGTAAAAATGAACTGATAAAATGTATGTACATTGACACATTTAACAACGTGTTTGGCAAATGCTAAAATTTAAGCCACTCGCCACTAGATGACGTTATTGACCATATTTTATTTTAAATCAATCCTTTGAACGGTATGGGATAACGTGCAGCCTCGGATATTGATTTGTTTATATTAAAAGTCAACAAAAAGACAGGCATTTGTCATCATCATTCTCCATCAGCCTATATAGATTCTCTTCTGTGCCTTCAACCTTGTTCAGGCCATTTACACTGTAAAAAAATATATGATCACTAAATTATAAAAGCAATGGTTAAAATATTTTTTGGTTTACACAAATCAGGTATGATGCAATTAAAGGACAGGCCAATAAGGTTGAAAGCAGGTACATTATAATTGTTAATGAAGATCATGCTATAACCATGCCAATAAGTACGACTTTTGTGTCCCCCAGGCTTCCCTAAAGTGATTGGTGCCATAGACTGCACACACATCCCCATCAAAGCCCCACCAGGCCCCAGTGAAGGGGATTTTGTGAACCAAAAGGGGTTCACAGAGTACATGTGCAGGTAAGTTACTATTAGGATTCTTAAAATTCCAGATTAGTAATATTATATAAAATGAACAAAGAAATGGAATAAAAACAATGCAGTTGACTGACTAAAATCTCTTGGTGTGTGACTCTATGTGCCATATTACAAATGTGGAAGCAAAATAGCCAGGATCTGTGCATGACTCAAGAGAATTTCCAGAGATCCACATTCATGCACATTTTAACGTGGTAAGGGAAAATATAATTGTCAAGCTTACTGTATTATACACGTATGCTGGGCCTAACAGAACTGCATTTTCCCATTATACAGGTGATTATGACGGGATCCTGCTTTGAGACAGGGGCTACGCCTGCAGGTGATAAACTTATGACGCCATTCACTGACCCAAACCAGTTACAATGCAGCTCTAGCCAGGACAAGGGCATGCTTTGAAATGGAAAGATTTCAGTGTGTGAAAAGTCTGAGGGTTGCATCTGCGACATTATTGTTGCATGGTCCGTATTACACAGCATTGCCCCCATCAGAAAGGAGAGGACCCCTGTGGTGGAGGAGGTGCAATCTGATGATGACCTCCAGTGAGTGCACTTGCCCAACATAGTGTTTAATAAAAGACAAGACAAATTAGTGCCTTGAGAGTTTTATTTCAATTATTCTTTGGGGACAAAATGTAATCAGTAAGTCATCTTTGCCACGGATAGACATCAAGTTCTATTTCTCCCCTTAATTTTTGTTTTGTTTTTCCAGGGAAAAATGCTCTATTGTGTTGATTGTGTTGAAGACTAAAAAGGAAAAGGAAAAGTACAACACCGCCCACCTCTCACTTCTCTGTGGGCCTTTCTGGACTCCTGTCACTCATATTGCAGTCAGAAAATAGGTACAAGAGTATATACAAATTAAGTCAAGTTATTTTATGCACTTACAGGTACTTCCTCCAAAGGACAGTCATCTGAGAGGGTTTCTTCACTGTCCTGTGCA